CCCCCTCCCCCCCCCCCCCCCCCCCCACACACACACAACTCGCCAACCCCCTTAGACTCTCACCCGTCATGGCACAACGCCCAATCCGTACTTGGCAGCTTACCCAATTAAACTTTATAACGATCTTTAGGATGTATGGGCCACCATTGGCTACGAGGATTATCCAACAAACGTCCAATCCATTAGAAGGTACGATTTTAGAAAAAAAGAATTTTTTCTGTTTTGCACTTTTGTCTTTTTTCATTTCTTTTCTTCCTTTCTTTTTTCATGCATATATTGCACAATGTACATTCGAGATTATAAGACGCGGATAAAAAGATATAATCTTTATTTATGTACAATTATTTATAGAATATAAAATCGTTTATAAAATCGAACCAATTGTATAATATACTGGATGATATATATATATATATATATATATATAATAACAATAATTAATTTATTAATAGAGTTTAAATATTTTTTATTTTATTTAAAAAATTGTTCGATAAACTTTAAATGTAGCTTTATTTTTACATTATATATCATTATATTAATTACGTTTATGCTTAAATTAACAAAATGACAGAGATGCTTATACCGCAAACTTCATATCATTGATCTGTGTTGTTATTAAAATGAAATCGTGACGTACTATATTACAACATTAGTGTCAACTTTTTTTTTCACCAATTCAATAAGAAACGTCATACAGGGACTGCAAGATAAACATTACCAAATATTCTAATGAATCAGTTTAAACAAATTTTCAGTTTATTTCCACATTATGCCTCATCAAGTGCGTATCTAATATAAAAATGTGCACTATCGATATAAGAAAAAAAAACATAAAATATTCTAAAGTGTATTCCGCGTGATTTGAATACTCAAATAGTCCGAGAACATATAATGAATAATAAATATATTTCATCTTGTACTTCCTTAGAATCAATCGGTACTGCTACGTCGGGATATACAGGTATGGACGGACTATTTCGAAATTCTTCTTGGTACCGTCAGCAAGGCAGTGAGAAAGACAACAAATTAACGAAATTTCTACATTATCAACATAATAATGAAAACCAAGGCAAAGAAAACAATAAACAGGTTATCTTCGTCAAATATTCAAATACTGTTTAAAAGAGCTTTTTTCGTTAAATGTATTCGATAATAATATGTTTGATATTATTGATATTATTTTACTGATATTACACTTATTATTGAAATTATTTTTTGAATTAATAATATGTTAAGTTTAATTGGAGTAAGTGATCGAACTTTTATAGAGCATAATAAATAAAAATCAATTTATATCTTTACTATATTTTTTTAACGGTTAACTGTTTAGCTTCAAGTGCTTAGTTTATTCATTTGTAAATATATTTATGTCATGCTATTTTTCCAATTTATAATTTTCAACTCATTCAAATAATAAAACATTTCACTTTACACATTTCAATTATTACTTACTATTCAATATTCGAATTACAGATAATTCTTTATAAAAAGTTTAAATATCTTGGATATTGTAATTTTAATTTTAGGATAAAAAATTTGCGATGGAAGCAATTAAAAAACAGAATCTAGCATCTCCCGATCAAAAAATAGGAAATTCTAATAATTCACAGGAAAATAAGGATGATGAAAAAGGGCTTGTTAATGATAACGTCAAAAAGAAAACTAATGAACCTAAATTAATCTCGGAATTTCGCTCTTATACGCAAATGATATCCGATTACTGTAAAGACATTGAAAAGAAACAGCCAAAGAAAGATAAAGGAGTGACTGACATACGTAGGAGTGCACTTTTTAAATTGCCCTTTTATTCAGTTATCTCGACATTTTCAAAATTTGATCGAATGAAGTTCAACGAAGCCAAATGTAGTTCATCGAATAATTTACAGAACCTTCAAGATGATTTCCCTAAGAAATCTAATTTACCAATCCACAATATTTTAAGTAAGGAGATAATAAATGAATTGCGTATATTTAAGAAGAATTTACAGCCACGTGGATACTTCACGAAGAGAAAGAGAAGAATGTTAAAATCTGACGAGCAAAGTAGAATATTGATGAAAAATATAATTGAAGCACGTAAAAAGCATTTGAAAATTAAACTTTACTTGATAATGATGAAGGACTTAGAAAATAGTTACGATTTCATCTTTGGCGAAAATAAACTCCACCATAGAAATAATAATTTACTCTCTGACTCTGAAAATGTAGATGATAAAAGTAATTCTATGAGCTTTAAAGGTGATGATAAGCAAACGTTGAAATCGATAAGCAAACAAATAAAAGATCTAAATATTTTTAAATCGAAAGATAAAATAGACGTCGAAATACCAATTAGTATTTCATCTGAAAATAACAAAAATATCAATACAAAATCATCGAAATCGGTGGTGAAATTGGAAATTTCGGCTACATTAGAAGAAAGGCCGTATACAAATGATACGCATGTTAACAAAAAAATACGAATTACGGATAAGCCAGAATCATCCGCTAATCAGCTTAATCATCGATATAAAAAATCAATCCAATCAAATAAAGCATATTTCCGAAATAGCAAAGGTCTACCTTGGTGGACGAGCAGTGATTCTACTATTCGGGATGAAGAAAAAGTAAGAACTTTAAAGAGGGAGATTGACAGGAGTGATGGTTATTCATCGAATATAGACATGCAAGTCATTTCAAGCGAGGAGCTGTTCAAAAATGATAATTATGAAGAATTTGAACATTATTTATTTGTAAATTCTAATGAGCTATCCGAGAAAGAGAAAAATGCGGGAAAAAATATCGATAGACAAAAAGAATCGACGGACTCGACAGTAGATAAAAGTGAAATTTATATGATTATGAATTCAGAAAAGTTGCAGGATAAAAATTGTCCAACGCGAATGGTTATTAATACAGCAACGAATAATTCAAACGACACGAATAGAACAAATATTGATGGTAAGAATAAAATTTTTTTAAAAACGATAAATAATAATAGTAGAGCTTTAATTAATCATGCTTTATTTTCAGCTAATAATAATAATAATAATAATAAGAATAATAATATGAATAGTAATAGTAATAATAATAATAATAATAATAACAATAATAATAATAATAATAATATGAATGTTGATACGTTGGAGTCTGAGGAAAAGAAATCTAGTGTCGTGATTAGCGAACAAACAGAATTAGACGTAGTTTTGCCAAAGAAAAACAAAGAGAAATATAATGATTCGATAGATAATACCAAACTTAAAAGATTATCGGATTCTTTCAAGCCAATTGAAAAGAGGGAAGACGGAGTTTTGATTGATTACGGCGTAAAGGTGACAACGCGAAAACCGAAACAGAAGCCGTCGGAAAAATTGCATACTATACCTGTCATAATTGACAACAGTATTCCTGAGAAAACTATTCTCATGTCGCCAGAATATATGGAACAGCTGCAACACAATATTTCCGAGAAACATTACAATACTTCATTACCAATGTTTCCCACACATCAGAAGAAATTTAATTTTCTAGTCGTTTTAACGAATAATAACAATCTGCCTTTCGGTAGAAAATCCAAACTCGAATGGATTCATAATCGCTTAACGGATCGTTTAAAATAATAGAATTTAATTCGGACGAGAATCAAGGAAAGTGTCGTATCATATTTCAATAGTAGTCGGGTCAGTGCCGACAATGCTTAACTATCTCTGGAAAATATTATTTTGAATATTGATCATTTGGACAAAAGATTTAATAAACAAAAAAAAAAATCAATGATACCTAATATAACACCCTATTAATGACAACATTTCTAAGTAATAAGAAAGGAAGCGAACTTACGCCTATTAACTTAAATAAATTGTCAAAAAAAATAGTATAACTCTAATGAATTTATGCACGCATTGCTGCATAATGAAAACACAAAAAAATCTGGCAAAATTGAATAATTTGAAGTTCTAATAATGAGTAATAACAATACAGAAGCCCATTTATATATATATATATATATATATATATATATATATACATATTTGAACATTTACTACATTTTTGTATAAATCTTTTATCTACAATTATTGTTGTATATTTTTCATATTGTGATACACTCTATGTATAAATTTGAAATATAATTCTTTAATATATTATATAATTTAGATTTCATACGAAAAGTTTTGGTTCGCTTTGAAAGCAAAAATATCGTCACTATTTTATTAAACATCACACTATGTATTTTCCGATAAATTAAAAAATTCTACAATTTAACAATTGTCAAAAAAATTTTATTTATCAACGTAAGACTATATTTAATTGCATCTTACTTAAAAAAAATCGAATGACTTATTGATCTCCCGGCATTATCAACTGATATATTCATATAAGAGATTTGAAAGAGCTTTTCATAATCCCGATAATTTGGGCTGCAAATACTGCAGTTCGGAACTCTTGGGCGATGTCGCGAATTATTGTCATGGCTATCAAAGATATTTTTCGCACATATACGCATACATTTATATGCTTGTGCATACAGGCGTATGTAAATAAAAGTGCACAGTGTTGGCCTTGAGAGAGTCTCTCGTATTCGCAAAAGGCCTCAGCATCAATTCCTATCGTTTGTCTCTTTCACGTGCAATGGCATTATACGGACTCTTTGACTTTCAAGGGCCGCTGCTCACGGGCATAATTACGGGCACGTCGCCTAGCCTCCTGGAGCCAACTCGTGATCCCGAATATCTTGGAACCCCATTATTACGGCAACCTAGCGCCCAACGTGTGCAGGTTGTGCCGCGTCATTACCTCTGGTAATATTCGCTTTGGTTGCGCGCGTAGGGATGGTGGGACGCGTGCTCCACGAAAATGAATATTACGAGGATGATTGTCGGGAGGGAAAAGGCAGGAGCGCAGCCTCGGGGTGAGTTCTCGGTATCTCTGGAAATTTTCGTTTCGATGACCCATCGAGTCATCTATATTTTGTTTGCCTGCGGTCGTCGCTAGTGCCCGTATCTGTGCAACAATATGTAAGTCCCTTAACTTATTTTTCCACTTTTACTTTGAGGGGCAGGCAATGCTCTCGTATCTGCGCGTCGTATCCAAAATCTTTCGATCAGCGCACGTGTTTGTAAAACACGTACTAATCTTTTAATCGACTGTCGTGAATCCTTCTGTCTATTCAACTCCTCCCCCCCCCCTCCACCATCTACTCAGGGTACTAACTCTTACCAAGTTGATAACGTTCATGGCGTTCTTACGAGGTTTTAGAAATATTGAAATGCCTAATAAACGTAGCGACTACAACTATAAGAAGCTCGCGCTCTCTTTCGCCTGGCGCTTCGTCGATTATTAAGTGAGTAAAGACGCAATGGTAACGATGAACCTGAGATACAGGTGTAACCGGTAGCCCGTATCGCAGTGTAATGGATAAGCATCGTCAAATCAAATCTGTCATCAAATCCTAAATACACTCCTTCCCCTCGGAAGAACGGACGGCCTCATTTTCACCTCATCAAGTACAAGTGACGTTGCGCCAACTAAGACAAAAACCCGGGACCGTATCTCATCGTGTATCAATTACCGAGGTCGTTCATCACGTCGCGCACAACCGTTTTTCATTGGGACGCGCCATCGTGCGTGCACACGCACACGCGTACACATAGACGGTGGCCGCAAGGGCGCCAGATTCAAATAACTTTTCCCCTGGAGTCCGATTCACGGGATAGAATATTCTCTACCACTCGTCCGTGACCGATGATTTATCGCGGTAATGTACGCTGACATCTTATAAAATATATAAATATTTTCTGAATCCGTCTCCTATAATGGCTCTTTGCTTTCTGACTCTCCGGGTCCTCTCACCCCCCACCCCCCCACCACCCCACACCCACCC